TTAAAAATTTCCTGTACTATTAGTGAAAATCCAGAATATTTCCGGCACTTTCGAAAGTGAAGGCCTTTTTTCACCAAAGTGATGCATATTCTGTAATGTACACCCTCACTTGTAAAAATATCTTGTTTGGAGACTGTTTTACTTTCGTGCAGAAATGAATGTCATTCTTTCCAGTCAGAGTGTTAATGTCACCACAACCACTCTTACAGCAAGTGGTATATAGTAAGTCCAAAGCACTACATGTATCTTCAGGTTTTTACGTGTTGTGCAAAATTGTATCATACATAGCTTCTACCACACCATCCGATACCAGCAGCTGGCATGATCTACATACAATAGTCAAGTCATCAACATGACCGCCACTCAAAGGTCTATATACGTACCATGTCCAGCAGAGAAGAAACTATCACTTCCCTTGCTTCTACGATGCCACCCATCACGTTAGAGACGAGTAGTAGTATCATCCCTTTGACTCAAAGTGAATCTGTTACTATTGATAATGGAGCAGAACTGCAGGTTTATCATGACACCAACTGCTGCCAAGAATGCAACAAAATAAAACCCAGTGCATACTAGCACTCGCAACACCTACAAATTGCCTTAGTGACATCTTTTGCTCAACTACAGAAAACTCTGGCCCAAATTCGTTGAATACTAAAGTTACTACAGTGACGTCGACTGCTGCCACACTTGCTATGAGTACTAGTATGGCAGCAACTATTGAAGCTAACTTGGAGGTTTCGTGTTGGTTTCCACTGTGCATATCAATTACATAGTCTGGAAACTCACTGACTGGAATATCCTCCTCCACTGAACTATATAACATTATCACAATCTATTCAGTTGTTCACGTAGTCTCAAGCCAGCCAACTCACTCTCATCAGTAACAAAGGCGTCGATTATCATCACACTGTATCAACTCAGTCATCCTCTTCAGCCCTTTCGACCCTTTCCCCAGTTCATGTCTCTCTAACTGCTACACATCTCTGGAGGATGACTGCTGTAGCTCTTACTACTCTGTGACTTCCTCTTGTCTTGTCTCTCTATATGACGGTTGCGAACATCAAACATCAACCATACAGCTCACAGCGGAGGAGAACTTGTTCTAAAACCTTTAAAGCAGAAGGAAAGTGCTGAGATGAGATGAAAGCTACGAGTGATATGTGGTGGAGTTCAAACTCTTCTAAAAAACATATTAGACATCGGGAGCAGCAAACAGGAATATTAGTACCTGGATCTGTGTCGGGGAAGGAGGTGCAGCTTCACGCAGTGGCACAGTAGAGGGTGCCATTGTAGTTTCGCTTGGTGACATGTGGTTGTGCTAGGTGACAGGAGAAAAGTGCCCGGGACTGCTGCACGTCACTAAGAGTGAGACCATCACTCCTGGAGACAGGACTCAGGGTCACTCTCCTCTTCATCCACACCTATGATGCACGAGTACACGTCGTCAACTCCTGGTCACATGTATGTGTGGTCGGAGTGATCAAATTGTGAACTGTAGCAACTTCCGAAGCTGAGCAGAAGTCCGACAGACAGATGACATGACTCAGTTCCACTCCACATCCCCTGGCCAGATCACGGAGTTCCGAGACAACAGCTCATGTCTGTCATACGGTTCATGCGTCATGTCCGTAAGCTGATGTTCCCTGCTGCCTCCCCGAGGACGATGCCACTGCTGGTACACTGCAGTGCAGGTGGGTGAGCGCACCGGGACTGTCAGTCATCACTCTGGATATGATGATGCAGCAGATGAAGGCTGAGGTCCCACCCTCAGTGTCTGCAGTGATGTCAGAAAATCTGCGAACACAACGCATGAAGATGGGGCAGACATCACCGGTACGTGACTCTCAGTGATCGCTGGTTTATCGTGAATCTGACTCGTGTCTAACTTTGCAGTTTCACAAGGCTCAGTATGAATGTCGATTCCCAAGCTCTGAGTGAGCTGGTGGTGTATGGGAGACAGAGGTGACTGCCTCCAGATCTCAGTCTTCACTGAGTCTCTCAGGATCGCAGCCACTGACTCTGGGCCCATCTTTCTGCACTACAAACCACCTCGGGCGGGTGATATCCTACACACCCATATATATTCTCCTACAAATGTTTACTACTCGTGACTCGGTTCTGGCTGATCTGGTGCACAGCCAAGGTGTGACTTCGCGGGAGCCCGCTCCCAGGCGAAACCATCAACAAAAACAGATTCATAATAAACTGCCAAGTAGACAACATCCATAGTGACACAATGTATGTGTTACATAAATCATGTATTGCATGCAACCAGTATGAGCCAATGTAGACAGTACAATCTCTCTGAACAACGGATGCAATGAGGAGCAACGATATAATTATGTATATGCAGATTTTTTTCTCCTCAACAGATGATATGTTATCGTGTGCCACTGATGAGTAGTTCTGGCTCGAGAGTACATCAATGCATCCTTTATCAATGTCGGTATCATAGAGATGTTTTCACATACAGTTAACCAGCACATACATTAACTGGTTCAGGGCTATAAGCAGAGGGATGCCTATACATAGCAACTCAGGGTCCACTGAAGGGAACAGTTGAGGACGTCTGGAGGATGATGTGGGAGTACCAGTGTGGCTGTATCGTGATGCGTGGTCACTGGAGGAAGATCGGCCAGGTCTGGTAGACCAGACATACAGAGGGGGTGTACTGGTGTGTGTCATGGACTGCAGGAGAGCAGCTACCCCTACTGGGCCAGGTGAGGAGGGAGAGGAGATGGTGTGTGGGAGACTCTCTGTCAGACTAGTCAAGGTCAGAGGTCACGCTGACATATTGGAGAGGAGGATGGAAGTCAAGGAGCATAAGTCTGTTTCAACCAATATACTCGTTTGTCAAGATGATACAGTCTAATGAGTTGGCCATTGGAGGGGTTACCTCATCCCACAGCAATCATCTCGCTCATCAAGAGCTCACCAACACCCTATGAGTTTGCGTTCCAAACAGACTGTGATCATGTGCAGGTATGAATGGACCATTAGAAACATGACCTGCTTCACCTTATAAGTTATTCCGCTCCCACTCAGTGATGGGGTAGTTCGGAGTGGGACATTCCTGGTCATTCACTCTCAGTTGGAACGTCTGAAGACAGAAGGTGTGGTGGATGTCTTCCAGGCCATCAAGTCTGCTCGCATACACAGACCTGGAGTCATACCCAACACTGTAGGTCTCTGCTCTGGTTTCAGTGTGACTATTTCTCTTCTTTTCACATGAAGGATCACTATGTCTTCTGTTATGAAGTACTGGCTGACTTTGTGGAGAGGATGGAAGCATACCACAACTTCAAGACTCTTATGTAGCTAATGAACATACCTGACATGAGATAAGTATGCCAATGTCATGTGCAAACCATAGTAATAATATGAATAATGTTGTATATAATTATGTAGCCATATATTATCCATTTTGATCAATTTTTCGTTGATAATGGGATAAATTACCTTTGCATCAGAATTCCCAAATGAAGTATGCAGTGAGCACTGAGCAGTAATTCTCATAATTTCTGGGTCACAAACAAAATGGTCTGTAGTGAACAAAACGGAGATTTTCACATGCACAAAGCTATAATACCTAAACCAAGTTTCCAACTATGTATACATCACAGTGTTTATTGTTGCACATTAAGTAAACTCAAAATTGTATAAACATCTCCTTTGCGAGTGGATGCAGAGAGATTGTTGTAGCTAGAAAAGCTTTAGCTACCATTGTCTTCTCTTTAACCAGGACTACAATGACTGTTGTGTTGTTTATACTCTTACTGAGTTTAGTGAGTTTAGGGAACTGCCAGTCACTGCCTCAGTTTGAACATGAGGGACATCTTCTGTCCAACAATTCCTACATCTACTTTCATGATATTGGTGATAGAGGCTATGCTCTAAAGTGTGTGACTGACAGTGTAAACTGCTGCAATAACACTGATGTTGGTGGCTGGAGAGATGAGAGTGGGAGACCAGTCTACCAGGGAGCAGATGGGGCCACTTGTCTGTATGTCACTAGAGGAGATGGAGTGATCAGTCTACACCGAGAAGGTTGTAGTGACCACACATCAGGACTGTGGAGATGTGATATACCTGATTCCAGTGGAGAGCTGCAGAGCCTTTATGCCTACATTAGCAATAGGAGATCATATGGTGAGCTACACAACCATTTTCTACTTTTACCATACCAAATGCAGGACAATTGTCTTGTTGTCTATGAACTTCACTCTACACACTGAGCTCAGAGCAAGTGTTCCTGAATTCACTATCTCCTGCCGTACTCATGGAGGACCTGCCACAACTGTCCAGTGGACAGTAAATGGAGTCCCAGTGCAGGAAGACAGATATCATGAGACCAGTCAGCTCATACTGGACACATCTCTCAACTCTGTCTATGACAACAGATTGAGAGTGAGAGGAAGAAGAAATGGGACCTACAACTGTACCATCAGCAACAATATTAGAGAATTTATACCTGAGGCATCCATTACTGGAGTCAGTTGCTCAAAGAGAATTGCAGGTATACATATTTCATTGTATGAAGCATTATTTTATGTCGCTTGTGTTTAGTGGCAAGAGAGCCAGGCAATCTTACAGTATTCTTTTGAAGCTGGAAAACAAAACTGGAAGCATACATTCCATGAGCATACAGAATAAATCATAGTGTTTTTGTTGCACATAAATAAACTTGCATGCAACATATCCTATGTGAGTGGATGCAGAGCGTGAAAGCTGAGTTTAAGTGTAGCTAGAAACACAGATGAAACTAACTACTCCATCCAGTACTACAATCATGAGTGTCGTATTGTTTATGCTTTTACTGAGTTTAGGGACCTGCCAGGCACTGCCTCAATTGAAACACGATGGACATGATCTGCACAACAATTCCTTCATCAAATATAATGATATTGGTTCTGGTGGAAACGGTGCTCTTAAGTGTGTGACCACCTGATATACGTAGAGACCTCACCTGAATCACTCACTACCTCACCCCAACATCTCAGTTCTCAGTCAACTGTACTGCCAGAGCTGAGGTTGATGGACAGAGTATTCCTGTGGACATAGAATGGACCCGGATAGACATCTTTTCTCCGTCTGGTCCATCCGAACTGATGCCCACTCTTTACACCACAACTGGATCTCCAGAGAGAGGCTATCAGAGTGTTCTGACCACCTCTGAGAATTACACTGTCAACACTACCATCTACCGCTGCAATGCTACAGTATCCAGTTACTCCAACTTCAGTGAAACTATTGTAGATGTAAAGGTGTGGGATGCTGTAAGATGTATAGGTTTACATATTTACTCACTTTCAGCAATTGCTCCTAGCCCTAGTACTCAGAGTCTCACTCTCACGTCTACCACCGTTTCTGTCAGTAGTTTCACCAGTTCTACCATTGCTCAAAACATCAGTGGTGAGATATTTACCAGCATGTTTATACTAACTACCTATACTTTGTATCTTAGATGGTGGTAATGGTGAAGATACATACAGTATGCCCACAACTTCATCCGTTGCCAACACAAACAGTGACAACATTAATAGTACTATTAGTGCAACTGCTTCTTCTTTAATGTACCCGTCTCTGTCTAGTCCCACTACAATTGTGTCTGCTAGTCCCACTACCCAGACTGATGTGACTAAAACAGTTTCAGGTACATGTGGAATGTGTTTTACACGTGTAAAAGTTTCTGGCATGACTATTCAGCACAACTCGCACATGTGCAGGAAGAAGTAGGAAGTCACATTCTTCTCACAAAATTACTTCTACGCATTAACTATTGTGCAGATGCTTTGTTTTTAACACTACTGCAAAGTTTTCACTAGAGTGATGCATGATCTCTGAATTTTTATTCTCATTTTGAAAGTCACTGTCACAGAAATGAAGCAGAATACTAGTGGTGATATTATTGCTGGAATAGCTTCCACTGCAGCTATAATCACACTTATTTCAATTGCTGGCTGTGTTTTCTCTCTCGTGAGGTAAAGTGGAGTACAGTAAGGTGAATGATAGTCATGCTAGTACCTACAGAATGAAGATGAGAGAAAGTAATGTGCCAAGGAGTAAGCTTCAGTCAGTATCCTACAAGAGACCTTCATTACTGGAGAGACTAGAGCTGAAGGAGGTTGGAAGGAGAGAGGATAACATTACCAGCAATGTGGCGTCCACTGAAAAGGACTCTCTACTTGCTGAGGATAGTGAGTTGGTAGAGAAAAGTGTTGATAGCAAACAACACAGCTAGCTCTAGCCCTTGTTTTTTTTCACTCATACAGTTCCAGTGAGGAGTGATATTCCAGTCAGTGAGTTTCCAGACTATGTTCTGGATATGACAATGGAAAACCAGCACGACACCTCCAAGTTAGCTATTGAATATCAGGTCGGTAGTATACACAAGGGATGTATGCACCTTTGATAAAAAGTGTTTTTGCAGCAATTCAATGATGTTCCCACTCTAACTTTTGAAGTGGCCTGTCTTTCTCATAACATTGACTTAAACAGATTCAGAAACATATATCCATGTAAGAATTAAAAAGTGCTCATAACATTTCAACTTCTTTTCATGTACTAAAAAATTATGAAGATGATAAGTCAGGAGTGATATTAAAAAGTATACCAGGAGAGTTGGGGTCCGACTATATAAACGCTTCTTTTATTTCTGTGAGTACAAGTGCAAGAACCACAATTTATTCTCATAGTCTTTTCCTATACACCAGGGATATGGTGGGAATAAATACATTGCAGCACAAGGTAAGATCGTTTCAAGCCATAACACTGTGATTACTACCTAATTTGTTATACAGCTCCACTGAATGAGACAATTGATCATTTCTGGAGGATGGTTTGGGAGTACGAGATTGAAGCCATTGTCATGTTGACCAAATGTGTGGAGATGACAAGAGTGAGTCAACAGTCTTATAGCTACCTGGTGTCAGTGTGTAGGTCACAAATTGTTCCACAGGAGAAGAGTGCCCAGTACTGGCCTGAGTCACTGAGTGAGATCATCACTCCTGGAGACAGACTCAGTGTCACTCTCTCTTCATCCACACCTTATGCCGAGTACCACGTCCGCAAACTCCTAGTCAAACATGTATGAGATGTTTCTGCGCCTGTTGTATTTTCTTTGCATTTGCATTTCCTTGATACCATGCTATTCATACTTCTACATATTTCGTAATTGGGCAGATAAAATACTAAGCTGTGGGCCATCATGCATGGTATACACCTGAGGGTTTGCCTTTTCTAAATGTTGTAATGCAGGCCTGTGTCCTGAAAGATCTAGTAATTAACTAAAATAGGTGGGAAGAGAGAGACCTACCATGGTTATAGCCTCACTGATAAGCTGTTGTGCGGCCTCAATTCCACAGTAGTTCACGTAAAATTTTCAAACTCCCTACAGCTGACAGAGTCTGACAAGTCAGTGACAGTGACTCAGTTCCACTACACTGCCTGGCCAGATCACGGAGTTCCAGACAATGTCATGTCTGTCATACGGTTCATTCGTCATGTCCGTAAACTGTTCCCTGCTGCCTCCCAAGACCAGCCACTGCTGGTACACTGCAGTGCAGGTGTGGGCCGCACCGGGACTTTCATCACTCTGGATATGATGATGCAGCAGATGAAGGCTGAGGCCACCCTCAGTGTCTGCCAGTGTGTCAGAAATCTGAGAACACAACGTATGAAGATGGTTCAGACTCCGGTAATGACTTTTAATGATACTTGTTTATCGTGTGACTGTGTCTAACTCCCTTTCAAGATTCAGTATGAGTTCATTCACCAAGCTCTGAGTGAGCTGGTGGTGTGTGGAGAGACAGAGGTGACTGCCTCCAGTCTCAGGTCCTTCACTGAGTCTCTCAGGGACCCAGTCACTGACTCTGGACCCACTCTCTCACAACAACACCTGAAGGTTTATTCTGCAACCATGTTTGACAACCATGAGGTTTATTTTGGAAATTCTTACATAGGTGCTGGAAGATCTAAGTACGCAGCAAAGGTGTGACTTCACGGGAGCCAAGGCTGAGGCAAACATCAGCAAAAACAGATTCCCAGATAAACTGCCAAGTATGCCGTGTTTGTTGAGACATCGACCATCTTAGGGTGGTTACATTAACAAAAACTGCCACAATTGCTTAGTTCAAGCATTATGATACCATTATGATCAACACTGACTGCTGGTATAAGCTCTTTTCTGCCTTTGATAGGTGAAGTATACAGAGTCTCACTGACAGGCAACTCTGGCTCTGAATACATCAATGCATCCTTCATCAATGTAGGTAGTGTCATAGGTTTTATGGGGTAGGTATAGCTAATATCATTCTTGCACTTCTGTTCAGGGCTATAAGCAGAGGGATGCCTACATAGCAACTCAGGGTCCACTGGAGGGAACAGTGGAGGACTTCTGGAGGATGATGTGGGAGTACCAGTGTGGCTGTATCGTGATGCTGTGTCAGCTGGAGGAAGATGGCCAGGTCTGTAGACCAGACATACAGAGGGTGTGTACTGGTGTGTGTGTCATGGACTGCAGGAGAGCAGCTACCCCTACTGGCCAGGTGAGGAGGGAGAGGAGATGGTGTGTGGGAGACTCTCTGTCAGACTAGTCAAGGTCAGAGGTCACGGTGACATAGTGGAGAGGAGGATGGAAGTCAAGGAGAACAAATCAATATCTCCTGACATACTCGTGTCAAGATGATACAGCTAACGAGCTGGCCATTAGAGGGGCTCCCCCACCTTACTGCCATTATCTCACTCATTGATAAGCTCAATCATGTTCTGATGTCCACCTCCTCCAAACAGACTGTGGTCATGTGCAGGTATGCTTGTGAACAGTTAGACTTTATGTGTGCATAAAGATTGTGTCCTCCCACCACTCAGTGATGGGGTAGTTCGGAGTGGGACATTCCTGGTCATCCACTCTCAGTTGGAACGTCTGAAGACAGAAGGTGTGGTGGATGTCTTCCAGGCCATCAAGTCTGCTCGCATACACAGACCTGGAGTCATACCCAACACTGTAGGTCTCTGCTCTGGTTTCAGTGTGACTATTTCTCTTCTTTTCACATGAAGGATCACTATGTCTTCTGTTATGAAGTACTGGCTGACTTTGTGGAGAGGATGGAAGCATACCACAACTTCAAGACTCTTATGTAGCTAATGAACATGAATTAATTAATTTGGTAGATCAATGTAATGTGCAAAACTTTATATTTAAATGTAGCAGCATATCTGTATTGATATATTATTCATTGATACTGGGATGATTGCCTTTGGACTAGAATGGCAATATGCAGTGAAACAGTAGCCAATTCTATAACAATACTCATTGCAAATTGCTTCTGTAGTGCACAAAATTTTACATGCACAAATCTACCGACAGAGTTTCCAACTAAATTGGAATGTAGCATACATCACAGTGTGCATTGTTGCACATAAATAAACTCAAGTTGCATAAAACATCATCTATGTCAGTGATGCCGAGCATGCACTTATGTACAATTTAAGTACATTATAGTAGATAAATAAAGTCATGTTGTCTCATCAGTCACTACAATGATTGTGTTGTTTATGCTTTTACTGAGTTTAGGTAACTGCCAGTCACTGCCTCAATTTGAACACGACGGACTTGATCTGTCCAACAATTCCTACATCTACTATCCTGATATTGGTGATGGAAACTATGTCTAAAGTGTGTGACTGACAGTGTAACTGCTGCAATAACTCTGATGTTGGTGGCTGGAGAGATGAGAGTGGGAGACCAGTCTACCAGGGAGCAGATGGGACCACTTGTCTGTATGTCACTAGAGGAGATAGAGTGATCAGTCTACACCGCAAGAGAAATTGTACTGACCACATATCAGGACTGTGGAGATGTGATATACCTGATTCCAGTGAGAGTCAGGGTAGAGTGCTAGAGCCTCTACATCTCACGCATAGAAAGGAGATCATACGGTCTATATTGCTATAACTTCTCTGATCATTTCTCTATATACTTATAGGACAATAAACAGGTCAGTATCTATGAACTTCACTCTACACACTGAGCTCAGAGCAAGTGTTCCTGAATTCACTATCTCCTGCCGTACTCATGGAGGACCTGCCACAACTGTCCAGTGGACAGTAAATGGAGTCCCAGTACAGGAAGACAGATATCATGAGACCAGTCAGCTCATACTGGACACATCTATCAACTCTGTCTTGAGAGTGAGAGGAAGAAGAAATGGGACCTACAACTGTACCATCAGCAACAACATTAGAGATTACCTTTATCATGGGGTATCTGTTACCCAAGTGGCACCCTAAGTATATCTGGTAATATTCTATAGTTCCATTTTGCTATCTGCTTGTTTTATTTAACACAGTTGCAGGAGAACCCACCGGTTTTACTGCAGTCATCTCTGAGTCCAACAGTACACATGTCAATATCACTGTGTCTTGCGGTCACCAGGCACTGACTATGTCATCTACTACAGGCGTAAGGGAGGACCAGTCATCAGTGACAGGGTGTCTGGAGGAGAGACAGACACACACTCACTGGATGGTCTTCAGAGAGGAGTCACTTACTACATCTCCATAGTGGCTCTGTCACCTCACCTACCCAGTCCTCTGGTTGGACCTATCACTGTCATTCTAGATGAGTCTGACTCTCTTACCTCTCCTTCCAGCCATCATGTCGCATTTTGCAGGAAGTTTCCTACATATGTGGCAGGTTTCCTGCACGTGTAGGAAAATTCAGTTATTGTAGAAAACTTTCCTGCGCCACTCTCTGATTTTCCTACATAATTATTATGCAGGAAGATTTGAGAAATATCGCAAGGGCTGCTTCAAAATTTCCTGCACTATTAGTGAAAGTCTGGAATATTTCCAGCACTTTCGAAAGTGAAGGCCTTTTTTCACCAAAGTGATGCATATTTTGTAATGTACACCCTCACTTCTTGCAGCAATGAATGGCAGTCTTTCCAGTCAGAGTGTTAATGCCACCACAACCACTCTTACAGCAAGTGGTAGTAAGTCCGAAGCACTACATGCATCTTCAGGTTTTTACGTGTTGTGCAAAATTGTATCATAGCTTCTACCACCATCCTGACTACCAGCAGCACTGTCATCATCTCAAACCAAGTATAACACACACTCAAAGGTCTACCTTGTCCAGCAGAGAGGTCACTATCACTTCCCTTGCTTCTACGATGCCACCCATCACGATAGAGACGAGTAGTAGTATCATCCCTTTGACTCAGTGAATCTGTTACTATTGATAATGGAGCAGAAACGGCAGGAGTTATCATGACACCAACTGCTGCCAAGAATGCAACAAAATTAAACACAGTGCATACTAGCACTGCAACATCTACAAATATTGCTGTAGTGACATATTTTGCTTCAACTACAGAAAACTCTGGCCCAAATTCGTTCAATACTAAAGATACTACACTTACGTCGACTGCTGCCACACTTGCTATGAGTATATACTAGTATGGCAGCAACTATGAAGCTAACTTGGAGGTGTCGTGTTGGTTTTCCACTGTCATATCAATTACATAGTCTGGAAACTCACTGACTGGAATATCACTCTCTCACTGGAACTGTATTAGCAACACATTATCACAACCTATTCAGTTGCTCACGTAGTCAAGTCAAACTCATTCTCATTAGAAAACGAAGGCCACGTATAATCACTGTCATCATCGTCTCTCCAGCCTCTTTCCCTCAGTTCATGTCTCTCTAACTGCTCCAATCTCTTGGAGGATGACTTCTGGTACTTACTCTGTGACTTCCTCTTTGTCTTGTCCTTCCTATATAACGTGGCAACATGAAACATCAACCAGACTCAAGGAAACTTGTTCTAAAACCTTTTAAACAGAACGATGCTGAAGATCAAGATGAAAGCTACAAGTGAATGTGGTTATTCAAACCTCCTTCTAAAAAACATATTAGACATCGGAGCAGGTATATACCTGGAACTGTTGGGGAAGGTGCAGATTCACCTTCAATTGCAGTTGCGACTGTGGCAACAGTAGTGGGTGCCATTGTGGTTTCGATGGGTGACATTGTGGTTGTGCTACATAGGTGACAGGAGAAAAGTGCCCGGTACTGGCCTGAGTCACAGAGTGAGACCATCACTCCTGGAGACAGACTCAGTGTCACTCTCTCTTCATCCACACCTTATGCTGAGTACCACGTCCGCAAACTTCTATTCAAACATGTATGCAGTGGTTTCTGCACCTGTTGCATTTCTTTTCTTTGTGCTCACATTTCCTTGAAACCATGCTATTCTTGCTTCCACTCATTTTGTAGTTGAGCAATACTGAGATGTGGGCCATCATTCACGGTGTATATACACTTGAGGGCTTGTCTTTTGTACGTGTTGTATTGAAGGCCTGTAAGAGGGACCTACCATAGTTCTAACCTCACTGATAAGCAGTTGTTCTGCTTTGCTTCCTTGATTCCTCAGTAAATTTTGTGTAAACTTCTTACAGCTGACAGAATCCGACAAGTCAGTGACAGTGACTCAGTTCCACTACACAGCCTGGCCAGATCACGGAGTTCCAGACAATGTCATGTCTGTCATACGGTTCATTCGTCATGTCCGTAAACTGTTCCCTGCTGCCTCCCAAGACCAGCCACTGCTGGTACACTGCAGTGCAGGTGTGGGCCGCACCGGGACTTTCATCACTCTGGATATGATGATGCAGCAGATGAAGGCTGAGGCCACCCTCAGTGTCTGCCAGTGTGTCAGAAATCTGCGAACACAACGTATGAAGATGGTTCAGACTCAAGTAAGGAATTCTAAGGGATACTTCCTAATCTGACTGTGTCTGTGTGTCCTAAAGGCTCAGTATGAGTTTATTCATCAAGCTCTGAGTGAGCTGGTGGTGTGTGGAGAGACAGAGGTGACTGCCTCCGGTCTCAGGTCCTTCACTGAGTCTCTCAGGGACCCAGTCACTGACTCTGGACCCACTCTCTCACTAAAACACCTGAAGGTTTCTACAACCATATCTCCTATAACCATATCTCCTCCTAAGGTGTCCACTCTGTGACTAGGTTCTAGATGGTCTGAGTGCACAGCAAAGGTGTGACTTCACGGGAGCCAAGGCTAAGGAAAACAGCAGATTCCCAAATGAACTGCCAAGTATGACAACGTCCCATAGTGAACACAATGGAGGGGGTTACATAAAGATCGTATTGCATGCAACCAGTGATGGCCAAAGTAGACCAGTATAACATCCGAACAAGGGACATATGGGAACAATTAATGTAAGGACAGATTTTTTCCTTCTCTCAGCAGATGATATTTATCGTGTGCCACTGATGAGTAGTTCTGGCTCGGAGTACATCAATGCATCCTTTATCAATGTCGGTATCATAGATGACTTCCGCACACAGTTAAGCAACACATACATTAACTGATTCGGGGCTATAAGCAGAGAGATGCCTACATAAGCAACTCAGTGTCCACTGAAGGGAACAGTGGAGGCTTCTGGAGGATGATGTGGGAGTTAGACAGTGTGGCGTATCGTGATGCTGTGTCAGCTGGAAGAAGGACGGCAGGGTCTGTAGAACCAGGACATACAGAGGGTTTGTGTACGGTGTGTGTGTCATTGGACTTGCAGGAGAGCATACCCCTATGGCCAGGTGAGGAAGGGAGAGGAGATGGTGACATGGGAGCCTCGGTCAGGACTAGTCAAGGTCAGAGGTCACGGGGGTGACATATTGGAAAGGGGGATTGGAAGTCAAAGGAACATAAGTCTGTTTCAACCCCAATATACTCGTTGTCAAGAGATACAGCTAATTAGTTGGCCATTGGAGGGTCCCTCATCCCCACAGCAATCATTCTCGCTCATCAAAAGGCTCACCAACACCCTAATGAGGTTTGTTTCCAAACAGACGGGATAATTGTGCAGGTTAGAATGGTAATTACAAAACATGACCTGCTTCACCTTAGTAAGTAGTTAATTTCACCTCCCACCAGTGATGCGGGGTGTTTAGGGTAGTTAGGAGAGAGAACCATTCCTGCGTCATCCACTCTCAAGTTGGAAAGTCTGACGACAGAAGGTGTGGTGGATGTCTTCCATGCCATCAAGTCTGCTCGATACACAGACCTGGAGGTCATACCCAACACTGTAGGTCTCTGCTCTGGTTTCAGTGTGGAGCTATTTCTCTTCTTTTCCATTACGGAGATCACTATGTCTTCTGTTATGAAGTACTGGCTGACTTTGTGGGGAGGACGGAAGCCTATATTATCACAACTTCAAGACTCTTATGTAGCTAATGAACATACCTGACATGGGATAAGTATGCCAATGTCATATGCAAACACATAGTAATAATACATGATGCTGTATATTAATTGTGTAGCGCCATAGTTATACAATTTTGATCAATTTCTTCATTGATAATGGGATAAATCACCTTAGCATCAGAATTCCCAAACTAAGTATGCTGAGCAATAGCTAATTCTCATAACTTGGTCAACAAACCAAAATGGTCTGTGGTGAACAAGAGAGATTTTCACATGCACAAAGCTATCTACCTAAACCAAGTTTCCAAACTATGCATACATGACAATGTTTATTGTTGCACTTTAAGGAAACTCAAAATTGTATAAAAATCTCATTTGCGAGTGGATGCAGAGATTTGAAAATTATGTTGTAGCTAGAAAGCTTTAGCTACCATTGTCTTCTCTTTAACCAGGACTACAATGACTGCTGTTGTGTTTATACTCTTACTGAGTTTAGTGAGTTTACGGAACTGCCTGTCACTGCCTCAGTTTGAACACGAAGGATTTGATCTGCCCAACAATTCCTACATCTACGATAATGATATTGGTCATGATGGAGACCGTGCTCTAAACTGTGTGACTGACAGTGATAACTGCTGCAATAACACTGACTGTTGGTGGCTGGAGAGATGAGAGTGGGACACCAGTCTACCAGGGAGCAGATGGGACCACTTGTCTGTATGTCACTAGAGGAGATGGAGTGATCAGTCTACACCACAAGAATAAAAATTGTACTGATCACACATCAGGACTGTGGAGATGTGATATACCTGATTCCAGTGGAGAGATGCAGAGACTCTACATCTACATCAGCAGTGCAAGATCACATGGTGAGCTACATTACCATGTTACCTTTTACTATACCAAATTGCAGGACAGTTGGTCTTGCTGTCTATGAACTTCACTCTACACACTGAGCTCAGAGCAAGTGTTCCTGAATTCACTATCTCCTGCCGTACTCATGGAGGACCTGCCACAACTGTCCAGTGGACAGTAAATGGAGTCCCAGTATATAATGAGACCAGTCAGCTCATACTGGACACATCTCTCAACTCTGTCTATGACAACAGATTGAGAGTGAGAGGAAGAAGAAATGGGACCTACAACTGTACCATCAGCAACAATATTAGAGATTATGATGATAGGTATCTGTTACTGAAGTGAAAGGAACTCTAAACGTATCAGGTAATGTTTTGTAATGTAAGAACTCCTGCATTTTGCATTTTACACAGTTGCAGGAGAGCCACGCATCTTACTGCAGTCATCTCAGAGTCCAACAGTACACATGTCAATATCACTGTGTCTTGGGAGTCACCAGGTGATCCTGTCACTGGCTATGTCATCTACTACCAGCCTAAGGGAGGACCAGTCATCAGTGACAGGGTGTCTGGAGAGAGACAGACACACACTCACTGGATGGTCTTCAGAGAGGAGTCACCTACTACATCTCCATAGTGGCTCTGTCACCTCACCTACCCAGTCCTCTGGTTGGACCTATCACTGTCAGTCCAGGTGAGTTTCTTTGAAATAGTCCATGTTAATGATCATCTACTACATTTAGAAGGTCAGAGCACCCAGTCCACCTTACCTCCTGCTCCCAGCACCCAGGCCACCTCAACCCCTGCTCCCAGCACCCAGGCCACCTCAACCCCTGCTCCCAGCACCCAGGCCACCTCAACCCCTGCTCCCGGCACCCAGGCCACTCAATCCCTACTACCGGTACCCAGGCCACCTCAACCCCTGCTCCCGGCACCCAGGCCACCTCAACCCCTGCTCCCGGCACCCAGGCCACCTCAACCCCTACTACCGGCACCCAGGCCACCTCAACCCCTACTACTGGCACCCAGGCCACCTCAACCCCTACTACTGGCACCCAAGCCACCTCAACCCCTGCTCCCGGCACCCAAGTCACCTCAACCCCTGCTCCCGGCACCCAGGCCACCTCAACCCCTACTACCGGCACCCAGGCCACCTCAACCCCTGTTCCCGGCACCCAGGCCACCTCAACCCCTACTACCGGCACCCAGGCCACCTCAACCCCTACTACTGGCACCCAGGCCACCTCAACCCCTACTACTGGCACCCATGCAACCTCACTCCCTACAAGAACCATTCAACACTCTACTCTCAGCAGCAATGTTCTTCCAATGCCTACTACAATCACTAGGAGCAGTATACATGACCCACGATAGCCGCATTGCTACCACTAAGTCTTCTAAACCGTGTGACAAGATCCATACACCACCTCCATGAAGGTTGCTCCCAGCCAAACTCCGAAAGCGAGTCATTCATTTTGCCTAAAGGTCAGTCTTTGTGTATAACAATTTGTTACTGGAAGTTTTTGCTACAAGACAATTTGTACTTCTGCAGATGATGAAAATAGCCATAATTCAGACGCAACAGAGGTGCTTAATGTCGCAGGTTTCATAGCAGTTGTGGCTATAGCCATTGGATTACTTCTTATCTCTCTCATTACGTTTACCGTTATCTTGAAGTGCAGGTAAGTAGCAGGAGCATTATGTCCACATTCTTCGTATTTTTTCCAACTGGAAAACTAAGGAAGGCTCAGTCACTGGACAATAAAAAGCGACATGCAATTGAGGGGCATGAGTTACAAGAGGTCACTGACAGAGTAGAAGAAAATGCCCCACTTGAGCTGGAGACAACAGTTGGTAATAGGGAAATTTAGGGAGGGGAATGCTTGTTTTCATTATCTAACCAATATACTGCTTTTATTGGATGGAACAGGTGCTATCTCAGTTATTGAGTTCCCTGAATATTTGAAGAAAATGAGAAAAGGGACAAATAAAAAGACCCATCTGGCAAATGAATATGAGGTAACTTTCAGCTTTTTGTCTTGTAATATCTTGAAGAAGCACAATATTATATAGGAGCTTCCAGATCAGTTTCAGTCAGAGAGCAAAGTGGCTTGTCTTCCACATAACATCCCAAAGAATAAATTCAAGAATATTTATCCGTGTAAGTAATGAGGAAGAACTCTGACGATAGAGATAAACTTCCTCACAACAGTTGACGACTCTCGAGTGTGTCTGACTAATATTCCCGGGAAACATGGATCAGATTACATCAACGCTTCATTTATTGACGTAAGTTTACTGGAAGCTGTAATAACACACCCGTACATGTACTTTTTTAGGGATATCGCAAGAAAAAACAGTATATTGCAGCACAAGGTGAGTCAGTAATGTTTTACCCATAATTTGAATCCATCTTGAATATTTATAAAGGTCCGTTGAAAGAGACGGTGGAGGACTTCTGGAGGATGGTGTGTCAGTACAAGGTTGAAGCTGTAGTCATGTTGACTAGATGTGTGGAGATGGGGAAAGTAAGCCACAACATTTTCATAAACCATCTGAACCCCCATCCACCACCCACAATTCCATTATTGCAGCAAAAGTGCCTGCAGTACTGGCCTGACAGAATAAACGATAGTATTTCTGGAGACTCCTTCACCACCACTCTTACATCCGTTCTCACTTTTGCCGATTATCAGATAAGGAAGCTTGAAATCAAAAATGTATAATTAGAGGCATCTATTGGTTGTAGTTTTCACACTACTTTGCACTCACATATTAATGTAGGAATTGAAGTACGATAAGTCAGTGACAGTGACTCAGTTCCACTACACAGCCTGGCCAGATCACGGAGTTCCAGACAATGTCATGTCTGTCATACGGTTCATTCGTCATGTCCGTAAACTGTTCCCTGCTGCCTCCCAAGACCAGCCACTGCTGGTACACTGCAGTGCAGGTGTGGGCCGCACCGGGACTTTCATCACTCTGGATATGATGATGCAGCAGATGAAGGCTGAGGCCACCCTCAGTGTCTGCCAGTGTGTCAGAAATCTGCGAACACAACGTATGAAGATGGTTCAGACTCAAGTAAGGACACTCTAATGTGGGCTTCCTAATCTGACTGTGTATGGGTGTCCTAAAGGCTCAGTATGAGTTCATTCACCAAGCTCTGAGTGAGCTGGTGGTGTGTGGAGAGACAGAGGTGACTGCATCCAGTCTCAGGTCCTTCACTGAGTCTCTCAGCAGTATTGAAGGAGGAACTGGTGGAATTTCAAAGGCTCAAAAACACTTTCAGGTATTGCAGCTAGAGATCTAGAGCTAGTGGACAAACATTAAGTTTGTTGCTGTATTAGAATTTGATGGAGTTGGATAGCCAGCACAAGGGAACCTTCAAGGGAGGCAGCGAAGTGAAGAATGTCAGAAAGAACAGATATGCAAACACCCTGCCAAGTGAGTTGTTGCCCATCACTCCTTCTGAGAGCACATTGTGGAAAAAGTAACTGTGACTCTCTGTTCACAGATGGAACAGGGCATTTTAGCCCACACTTTGTTGAATCTGTGCCCTCACACAATTCTTTCCTTTATGCATGTAATATTGTAGTATTATGCTTTCTTGAGTGTGTGGGGGAAAAACAACACTAACACAAGCTAAGCACCTATTTTCCAGATGGCCCATTGTGTGCTTTGATAGATAGTGCATGTAAGTGCTCTTATGGTAATGCTGGTTTAACCCCCCTCCCACAGATGACCTGTACAGAGTGAACCTGAGGTTCAACCAGGAACCAGACTCCACCTACATCAATGCTTCATTTGTTGACGTACGTTTCAGCTTCATAGCTTTGTTCCCAGGCCCTCTCCCTTGGCACAATTTTCGTAATTTTCCGACAAATTGTGCACAGATAGGGAGAGCCATTAAGTGAACAATCTAAATGTGCGCAGAATGCTTGGCTGCCCAAACACATTATCTCCTTGGTAACTTTTAGCCCAGGCCATGCTCTCAAAGTTTCTACTCAGTTAATGCCATGATTCATTCTCGTGTCTGGATAGGGGTACAGGCAGAATGGTGCCTACATAGCAACTCAGGGTCCACTGGAGGGAACAGTGGAGGACTTCTGGAGGATGATGTGGGAGTACCAGTGTGGCTGTATCGTGATGCTGTGTCAGCTGGAGGAAGATGGCCAGGTCTGTAGACCAGACATACAGAGGGTGTGTACTGGTGTGTGTGTCATGGACTGCAGGAGAGCAGCTACCCCTACTGGCCAGGTGAGGAGGGAGAGGAGATGGTGTGTGGGAGACTCTCTGTCAGACTAGTCAAGGTCAGAGGTCACGGTGACATTGTGGAGAGGAGGATGGAAGTCAAATCTGTGGAGGATGCTACAAGTCAAACGCCACTCATAGTGAATGCCTTGCAGCTAATTAGCTGGCCAAAAGGGGGGCTACCTCACTCTAAGTCCATTATCACACTGCTGCAAATGCTCACTGGTGCTCTCATGAAATCATCCAACAAGAAGTCCGTGGTCATGTGCAGGTT